AGAAGACTGCAAGCTTTGTGGACCTATTTTAGCTGTGTATTTGTAAAGTTCCAGATGTGCCTGTTTGACTCAATCTGAAAATAATGGATTTGAAAATACAGAGAAGGCTAGTCAATTAAGACAGAGATTAGGGTGTCTACATTTAATAGAAATAAATGACAACTCTATGAAAAATAGCTATGTTTAAGGAGAACCACCCCAAATACTGTGCTCATGATGCAAAATTGTATGCTCTGCATCATGGCATATGAGCCCTTTCGTGATTATTGCTTAAACACTTGTATCTGATCAAATGCTTCTTAGTTACTCCTTAATGAATATAGGTTGTGGGTTAGCAGGTCTGATCTCAGGTTGTTTTTTTAATGACATCCACACCAGCTGCCTCTCAGTTCCTGACTTATAAAAGTTTTCATGTGTGAGCTAATAGTTTCTGAAGACAGCCCTACTAATCAGTGTGAAGCCTGCAACTCTTTAGACAGCCTGTGCTTCATCAGTCTTTTCTCCAAACTCTCACAAGACTTGGTAAATATTAAAAGATTTTTAAGGCCAGGCAGTATCACTACATCATATAGTCTGAACTCCTTTATAGTACACCCTGCTATTGTGTAAGTCTTTCTTGGAGTACAATATTGATCATATTTTTGCAGGAGTACAAAATGAATCAGAATTCTGCAAATTCATATCCATGTTGTTCCTTTGAAGTTCATATCAAAGGTAGATGTTTTCCCAATGTTGATCATCTACCATCCTCAGGAATAATGTGGTATTAAGTTTATAGGGTGTGTTCTCTGATGCTCTTGCTATTAAATCAGAAGTGTTTGAAGTTCTCCCTGAATAGTTCAGCATTATTTCCTATGAGGTTTATATTCAAAGTGGGATTCCATTTTATTTGACTTAATTCCATGTTTGATACTATTGTACAGAGGAGTGTCCGATATGAGAGATTTTTATGCAATATATCTCATAGATAAAAGAATGTTATTTTCATCAAAGGGAGATTTCTTAATAATAAAATTAAACATGGCTACTTATTACATATTTATACATAATAGTAATAGACTTATCACTACTCTGTCAAAATACCTTAAAATCTGTTTCTGAAGCAGGACGTTATTTACTTACAAAGGGCAAAATAATGTTTTGCAGATCATTTTAAACAATCTGCCTTAAAGCAAAATCAACATTGTGTTGCAATTATAAACAAGTTCAATGAGGGATTTTACCCCTCCAGCTTTAAAAACTTCCAGTCACTTCCTTAACTTCGGCTGCTTTCCTCTGGGTAGGAAAAGCCATTTGGAAACTGTCCCACACTTTTACTCTGTTGGCAGCTGGTGGCTTTTGCAGACAGTGCTTCCTAGGACATCTCTGCATGGTAAGTTAGTGTGCAGTAAGCCATAGTGTAAACCTACAATGCTCCAGCTTGCTGCTGTCTAACTCAGTTAGTGGACTTTCACTGCACTGTTGCCACACAGAGTTAGCTCATGAAGCTGGAGAACTATGGATTCGCTCCCTAGCTTGCCACATGCTAAGAGATTTCCTACACTGGCAAGTTACTGCTCTGTAACTTTCTCGCTCAAGGGTGTGTATCCCCCCCTCCTCCCAGCACAACCAGTTACAGCGCTGTAACGCGCCAGTGTAAACAGGCTCCCAGCACTGTTGGCTACCCCACTGGTGGTGGTGGTTTACCTACAGTGCTGGCAGAGCACTCTCCCAGCACTGATGCCATGACCACACTGCCACGTTAAAGCGCTGCCACTGTGCTTTAAACTTACAAGCGTAGACGAAGCCTAAATCAGAATGTAGACAATTCTCCCCAACCCTTTCATACACTGCACTAATGCACACAGTCCTGTTAACCTGCCTTATTTTGTTTTATATTGTCCCACTTTACAAAATATGTAATGCAATAGGAATTGGACTCTGTGCATCTGTATAAAAGAAAACGTGGAGGGAGGGAGAAATATTAAATACCCCTCAATAGTTTATATAGGTGAGAATCTTTTTTTTTGGACTGTTTGCAGGAAGCATCATGTTAAAAAATGTTCAGGCATTATTTGAGAATAAAGTAAGTCAACATATGCATTTGGCTCCCATTGATAGATTTTTGTGAGCACCCACTAACACATTTTGTGTCTCTTGAAGTATTTTCCCAGAGTCCCTTCGGTGGCTGATGGCTACCCAACAGTTTGAGGCGTCCAAGAAACTTATCCTTCACTTCACTAACAAAAACAGGATGAACACTGAAAGTGATATCAAAGGAGTGATGCCAGGTGAGTAGGTTTGTCCAACAAATTAGGCAGAGGAAATCCAGGCAGAGGAATTGCTTTGGTTGTTTGCAAGTATTCATGAGACATAACTGCCCTGAATTAAATGGTCAAGTCACCATGTGTAAAATGACCCGATTTATTCATTCATGTATTTTACAGTTGTTGAAATACAGTCCTGAACTTGGTATCTGTTTTAAATGACTCAGTGTATTGGATAGTCCTACCAATTACATTATTTCTCATTTTTCAGTGCAGTGTTTTATGGCTGTGTCTCAGTTCATTTCACCATAGCTAGAGAAACCACCATTAGCCTTGTATTAGCCCTGGTCTATAAATGAGATTGTGCTCTTCAAAACACATTAATTTATTCATATGGAAATTTGGCTGCTGCCAATTAACAGATTCTTAGTAATATCAATATTGATGCAGATCTAAAAATGGTCCACATTTTATTTCCATTTCTTAAAATCTTACTTTACTAGTCATTTCACTTTCCTTTTTAAGTCATTTTGCACTTTTAAGAGAGATTCTCCTGGTGATGGTCAAGGTGGTTATTGTTGGAAATGTAAACCTGGTTGACTGATTGCTTGATGCTTTTCAGATGAGCAGGCAGTTATTGTCACTAAGATTGTCACTGACACAGTAATGTTATTCTTCAGCATGTTTCAGAAAGTGATGGGCTTTTATATGGCTCCATCTACGTTCAATTATAAAGAAAGAGAACATTTTTCTGAAGCTACTCTATCTCTGTTGTTTCACCTGTCAAATTCTTGTCAAGCTCCCCTTTACTCTTCAAAGCGCTGGCAGTGCCCAGAAATATGCATTTACAATGTTCCTTAGAACCAGTATCTGAACTGTCAGTTATCAAGAGGCCAGCTAGTACGTTTGTTCACTGTACTTCTATGGCTTACTGTTCTTTGGTTAAGTCTGCTCTCTCTCTGCCCATCACTATGAATTAGTGCATTTCAACCCAATGCAGAAAATTCATCCAAGATCTTATGAGCAACAGAAATCCCAAATATTCCTTTAATACAGGAATCCATAGGTTCTTATGATTCTTTGCACTCTCGTGAATTTTATCCACAGAATAAAAAATGTCACTGTTGCACTAGTACCTAATAGACTAAAAGATTAGACTTATCCTCAATAATATGTACATTAAACATTGAAATCCTAGCCAGATCTTTGCTTCATCTTGCTATTTATACCAAGTGGCCTCTTGTTTTGAGTGAGGCCTAATCTACTCCATTGTCAAGCTTATTTGATTATAATATTGTTTTATGTACATATTGTAAACTGTTGATTCATGTTGTATGTAATTATAAGAAATATTATTTTAAATACCCCTACACTAAAAATGTATTTAGTCTTTAGATTGCAAAGTCAAGTACTAGCAAGTTAGGAAATACATAGGGTACCATAAATTTGGCAACCTAGATCCTCCTTCCTGGGCATCCAACCTGTTTAGTGGGATAAAATCTGAGCTCCACGGGTACAATGGAACTCTAAGGCGAAAACTCTTCTGTACGGGAGACAGAATGTTCTTGGGGGCAAAACTATGGAATCAGTTCCCCTTGGAACTAAGGATCATGACACATCTCATCATCAAATGCAAGGTGCATGCTTTTTTACTATGTTTTAATATAAACATATAGCAGTGTGTACATGTGTAGTGTGGAAAACAAAACCAAAAAACACAAAACAACTTCCAAAACAAAATACATGAGATATTCCTCACATTGCTTATTGCACCACTGGAAAAGGCCCAAATACTATAGTGAAGAGGATAACAAAAGAACCTATATAAAATAGAATGTGACATCCTATGAAAATTATAATATGTGATCATGTAGTTAAAAATAAGGTTAAAATGTATATTCACTAAGGGGGGCCAAGTTAAAGATGCACGGGCAATCTTAAAATCAGCATCTCTTAACATTATACTTCTTGAATTTGCAACCTAAATAATCTTTTTTAACTGTGGTAGGAGGGCTGATTTATTTATATTAAATTCATGTATGTTTACAATTTGTATTAATTTTAGTAAGCTGCATTGACTTGAAATATTTTATTTATCTTTAACTAGCAGATTTACCTGGCATTGCTTGGCTCCTTAACTCAATTGAGGGGATTTTTTTAGATGGTGGGGAGGAGGGGTTACTTTTGGAAAATAGAGGAAAAATTTACGTTTCACATAAATAATTGTATTTTTAAAAATACAGTATTTTATTAAGTGAATTTTTATTTCAGATTTTTTAAAGGGAATTGTTAAAATTTGTCTTCAGTTTTTTAAAATAATTTTTAAACGGGAATTCCATCATGTATATTTTTTCTTCATCCCTATAAAATCTTATCATTCCATATGTTTTACCAAAAAAGGGCTGTATTCAGTTTGGTTTGCAATAACATTGTATTCTAGCTTTGAAACGTTCAGCATTGATTTAGCTGTACCAAGAGAAGGCACTACTCCAAATTTCTCCCTTTCATCTCTTTTCTGTAAGGGATATTGAGAAACAAACCTATTCCAGGTTCATCCTATGTTTCTGGCTTATCTTGGTTCAGTAACTGTCAGCATTTGTTCACTTACATCAGTTTTTAGGACTGTACCTGCTTTAGTGATTCTGTCTCTCTTCTGTTTAGTTTTATGAGAAGCTGTCCTTTTCCTGGCACAACCAAATCCTTACCTTGCTTTAAATTATGATAAGAGGAAGCTGTATACTTAATTTGGTGGTTCAAGCTCTTACTATTTAGGAGGATAAACTTAAAACTTAAAAAACAACAAATAGTCTAGTAGCACTTTAAAGACTAACAAAACATATAGATGGTATCCTGAGCTTTTGTGGGCACAGCCCACTTCTTTAGATGACTAGAGCTCTATACAAAGAGCTGCACCTTCATTGAATGTTAGGTTGATAGTGTCCCAACCATCCCTCATCACGATTGAGGCCATTGGCATGAGAATTGAACTTGCAGATAAATTGTAATTCCAACACTGCTCTGTGTATTTGGCTAGTAGACTTGGTTTCTGACAAGACAGCCACTTGAAGATCTTCTAAACAGTGATTAGGGTCGATTAAAGTGTTCCCCAACAGGTTTCTGTATGTTCCCTTTACATATATCTGATTTGTGTCCACTGATTCTTTCCCATAGGGACTGTCCAGTTTGTCCTTATATATATATATAGCTGCCAGCAATGCCCCAGATGCAAACAGCTCTTTGTGTAGATTCCTGTGTTAGTACCCTTTCTATCTATTGACTTTGATTCTTATCTGCTTCTTTTAACTACCCTGTCTTCAGGTGCTTACTGATTCCCAGTTCTGCCTTTCTGTATTTCCCTTTGATATTTCCATACCCTATGCTCGTTTCCCGACCTCCTCTTTTATTCCTCCCCCCCCCCATTTATTTGGGGCTGCACATCCTAAACTCAAAACTCCGGTCATCTGAAGAAGTAGGCTGTGCCCACAAAAGCTCATGATACCATCTACATGTTTTGTTAGTCTATACAGTGCTACCAGACCATTTGTTGTTTAAGTTTATCCTGTACAGACTAACTCGGCTACTCCCAGACAAACTCTCTAAAATAGAAAGTACAGTAAACTTCCTATAATCTGGCACCATTAGGACCCAGGGGGTGCCGGATTATCAGATATGCCGGACTATCGAAGGGGGGGGCTCTGAGGGGTCTGGGGTGGAGTGAGAGGATGCGCCCCTCAGCACTGCGGGACCAATCCGGCAGCACCCCAGCTGCTCTGCCCCAGACTTCCCCAATTCAGCCACTGCTGAAACTGACCAGCAGCTGACTCCAGGACTGAGAATTGCTTAAAGAAGCATATGTATTGCATATTTATTGTAAGTACAGTTCTCTGCATATTCTGTTGCGCATGCACAACAATATTATATAGTGTAAAACTAGAACCATTTTCTTTGGTCCAGTAAGAATTATCTTGTTCCACACCATTTTATTTAGCATTTAAGAGTAATGGTGTATTAAATTTGAATCCGAAGAATATATTCTTGAAATGTCATATGATGAAGTGTGTTCCATTATGAACATAGCCAGTTCACCGTAGCAGGATTTATGTAAAACTCAATTATCCTTTAAATAGAAGGGGCTGGGCTTTCAATGCCAGGTTGGTCCTGCAGCCCCGAGGGGCAGCACTACGGGACCAACCCGGCAGCACCCCAGCTGCTCTGCCCCCAGCTTCCCCGATTCAGCTGCTGGTCAGTTTCAGCAGTGGCTGAATCAGGGAAGCCGGGCACAGAGCAGCTCCAATTGTCCAGCAGCCAGAGCACTTCTGGGTTCCTGATGGTGCCGGACCATCAGGAGTGCCGGAGCACTGGATGCCGGACCAATGGAGTTTTACTGTAAACCCGGCAGCACCCCAGCTGCTCTGCCCCCAGCTTCCCCGATTCAGCTGCTGGTCAGTTTCAGCAGTGGCTGAATCAGGGAAGCCGGGCACAGAGCAGCTCCAATTGTCCAGCAGCCAGAGCACTTCTGGGTTCCTGATGGTGCCGGACCATCAGGAGTGCCGGAGCACTGGATGCCGGACCAATGGAGTTTTACTGTAGATTGTGTGCTATAGCATAAGGCTAAGGCATTTTATTAATTAAAAACCATAGGTATTTTTAATTTAACTTCCTTTTTTTTTAAGGAGGAAGGTAAAAATAAATGCTGTTGTGTAACCTGTAGGAGACATTTTAACAATATTTTCTGTGGAGGAAGATGAATTAACAGAATATGCTGTTATCACACACATTCATAGCTGGGTTTTTTTTTATCAGTGGTCCTATAGCAGGGACATATAAAAATTACTTTCTGTCATTGATTATTATGAGGGAGTCTTACTTCTATGTGTTAGATGTAAGATGGTCTGCTATACTTGATCAGACCAGTGTCCTGTCTTGCCCAGTGTCCTGTTTTCTGACTGCGGCCAGTACCAAAGCTTCAGAGAGAATGAACAGAACAGGGCAATATATCAAGTGATCAGTCACCTGTCATCCAG